ACAAGGCATTAGTTCCAACTTTATGATCAAAGTCTAAAGATCTATAGATTAGTCCGTGCTTGACTAGCGAAGCACATACAAATTATCACAAGAACTTAACGTTGTATCATGAAATATAAATGTCAAAAAACTGTGTATATGGTACTGAACAGATTCATCTCAAGGACAAATGACCAAACTTGTGTCTTGTTTAATTGCAAAATATTTTTGCATCATCACCACTTGTTCATTTTTAATTTATTCGCGATCAATATATGATCTGCAAGGTTGTAGACCTAGGATAAACTCAAGGGAGGGGTGATATCTCATATCATCTCTCTGGTAACAAAGAAGAACCAGATTACTTGATTATAGGTTGTAAATATCATCTATGATTTTAAAAATATCTGATTCTGCAAATACGAGGGAAAAAATTAAATAAATGATAAAACCTCATACTTTTCTCTTCTTTTGCCACCTTTTTTCCTCTTTCTTGGGTTCCTCTTCCGATGGCGCCACAACGACAAAATTGGAAATTTGAGAGGAAGTTCAAATCTAAGGTTATTTTTTAAGGAAATTACACCAAGTCCTATGTTTTAAGATCCAATTTCAAAAATAAGATCCAAAGTTTGTTTATTAAAAAATTAGGTTATAATTAAAAAAATTAATATTATTAATTATATTACAAAATCAATTAATCATTTACCTATTTTTTTACTCTCTCTCACTCAACCCACTGTATCTTCTCTCTCTCTCTATCCCTTCCTCTATCTCTTTTACTCTGACGAAAGGGGACTCCGGCATATGAGCGTAGCCATCGCCTTCTCGTAGCAGCGGCGCGGTACTTCTGTCCAAGGATGGGGCAGCTCTGCGTAGCGCACCGCCGCACCGCCTTGCCGCGACTGCGCTCTACGCAATCCAGATCTGTATTTTTTTTTAGTGGTGCAATGGAGTTTTACGGTGCTGCTGTGTTGCTATGGGTGTGGTTGCAGTGCGGTGGTTGGGTGTGTACGTGTGCGGCGACGGTGGTCGTGGTTATGTTTGTGCTATGGTCGATAGATCTGAACCGCCTTGATCTTTTATTGGGATGGGTGGTGGGCTGCCAGTCATTGTCGGGATCCGCATCGTCATGATTTGGTGTAGGATTTTTGGGCTGTGTTTTCAGTCGTGGATTGGGGCTGTAGTGGTGGTGGTGTTTGGGTAGAGGCGATTATGTTAGATCTGGCGATGGATCAGGCAAGCGGCTTTGCAGTAAGGGTAGTGGTGGGACGGTGCGGTGGTGTTGACAGTTATGACGTTGGCTGCGATGTTTTTAAACTAGTGATTTTGTTGTTGGGAAGTGGTGGTGTAGGTGGTGTTGGTGTTGGCGGCGGTAGTGTTGGTGTTGGGGTGGTGGTTGTTGCGACGGTGGTGTTGGTACTGGTTGCCGTGAGGTGGTGGCGGGGGCGGTGACAGTAGTGGTTATTGTTGGTGGTATGTGACCAAGTATTTGGTTATCTGTGATCAAAAAATTATTAATTGTGACCAAAAAATTATTATTTGTGACCTAAAAATTATTAATTTGTGACCTAAAAATTATTAATTGTGACCAATAAATTGATAAATTGTGACGTAAATAAGTATTGTGACTTACAAATTTTGGGATCTGTAACCGATGAACAAATTGTGACTTTTAGATTTATAAGTTGTGACGAATAAACAAATTATGACTTATGAAAATTTTGAATTGTGACTCAGAAAATTTTGAATTGTGACCAAATTGTAAAGATCTGTGACCTTAACATATTCGTCGGAATCGGATCAGTAGTCGGAACGGTCGACGGAGAAGAGTGGTGACTGGAACGGTCACCGGAATCGCCCCGAAATTGTAGGGGTGGTGGGGGTGGGTTAATTATGTTATAGTAGAATTAAATATTAATAATAAATCAATTTAATAATTATTATTTCATAATTAAAAATTTAAAGAAACCTGATTTTTGAAATTTAAAATATGTTTTGGTATTTTTGAAATGGGTAAAAGTAAATACCTGATTTATGTATTCTTCCCTATTTTTTATGCCCTCAAATATATTTGAGACGAAATTACACCTAGAGTTGGTTTTAGATTTCCATTTTCATAAATCACATACCATGTTTAACTTTTCATAAATCAGGTTTTTATATTTAATTTAATATTAATTATATTATTTTCATTCCAATTAAAATAAACAAACCTAACCCTAAAATCCATTTCTCCTCCCCGTTTCTCCTCCCCCCGCCCAATCGCCGTTCTCCTCCCCTGCCAATCGCCGTTCTCTCCTCCCCCGCCCAACCGCCGTTCTCTCCTCCCGCCCAACATCCGTTCTCTCCTCCCCGTCTCTGTCAACAGGTATTGATGTCGCTGCTGTTCACGTCTACCGGTCGCGTCGCACTGTTCGCCCTTCGCGTCGCTGGAAAACAGTATCCAGACTGTAGTTCGCGTCGCCCAATCGCTGCTGCAGTTCGCGTCGCACTGTTCGCCATTCGCAGATCTCGCAACAGCGACGTCGCGTCGCTGCTGCATTTCGCGATGCCGCAGGTAAATTCTGTGGCATTGTAGTTTTCCGAACAGATCTGTGGCAGTCCGGTGGGTGTGATTGATGGTCGTGGTTGGTCTGATTTTGGCCGACGGTTGCAGATCTGTGGCGGTGGATCGTGGTGTTACGGATTGATGGTCGTGCTTTGTCTATTTTGGTCGATGGTTCAGATGTTTGGCGGTTTCTAAACGGTGTTGCGATTGGGTGTGTGTGTGTGTATGGGTGCGGTGGTGATGGAGGTGCGATCTGTGTTTTGGTGGTGGTGTGTAATGTGGTTGCGGTGCGCAAGTGTGTGTGTGGACGCTAATGGTGGTGGTGATAGTGCGGTTGGGTGTCAAGGCGTGGTAATTTGGTGATGGTCACAAATGATTGTTTGTGACCAATGATTTGGTCAGTTTGTGACCAATGATTTGGTCGGTATGTGACCGATAAACAATTTGTGACCAATGAATTTGATAAATTGTGACCCGTAGAAGTCGTGTGACCTAAGAAATACTAAGTTGTAACCTAAAAATTATTAATTTGTGACCAATAAATTGATATTTGTGACCAAAAATTAAGTAACAAAACTTTTTAAATTTTATGATTGTGACCGATGAACAAATTGTGACTTTCAAATTTTTAAATTGTGATCGATGAACAATTTGTGACCTATTAAATTTTTGAATTGTGACTTAAAAAATTTTGAATTGTGACCAAATTGTATAGATTTGTGACCTAATAAATTTCGCCGGAATTGGAAAAGTCGTCGGAAAAGTTTTCGGAGACGAGTGGTGACCGGAACGGTTGCCGGAATAACCCCGGAGTTGTAGGGGTGGTGGAGGTGGGGGTGGGTTATTTATTTTATAGTAGAATTAAATATTAATAATAAATTAATTTAATAATTATTAATTCATAATTAAAAATTTGAATAAACCTGATTTTTGAAAATTTGAAAAGTATTTTGATTTTTTTGAAATAGGTAAAAGTAAAGGCATGATTTATGTATTCTTCCCTATATTTGACACTGGTTCTTTCTTGGGCTGGTTATTTTTTGAGGCCTCTCAAAATATGAGGCCACCGTAGACCATTGCCTACATGACTTTGGCCTAGGGATAACCTTGGTCAGGACGGAAATTAAAATATTCCAATTTTTCGTCCACATTAATTGAAATTATTATTTTAAATACTATTTAAATTTAAAATATAAAAATAAATAAGAGTCAGGATGGTTCGAGGCATGGGTCATGTTCCCCGTCATTCCCCTGACTCCCTGGCGAAGCAGAAAAGGGCTATTTTGTCGTCCAAAAGAACATGTAAGATTTACTTGTTCTTTTCAAGTATAGCCAAACATGGTCTAGACCAGTCAAATAGTCAATACCGAACAAATTGTTGTTCACACTCAGCGGCCAGTAGGAACAAAAGGTGTGTTATTTGACTGTCCACTGGGCGGTGCCGAAAAAAAGAGAAAAAAGGCGTGGTATTTATGAGATTAATTAAGGAAAATTGCAGCATTATTGCCTAGTAGCAATTAGCAAACCCGTTAAAGTTTTTTTTTCCCATCAAAAAGACCATTTTACCCTAATTCTTGATTTTAAAAAAAAAATAATATATAAATGAAAAAAGGAACAAAATTTGAATACGAGATAAGAAAGAAGACGAGGGATTTGGTGGGTGTTTGGCAGGGATTAAAATTAGATTTTTAGTAGATTGTGATAGAAGTTTTTGAAATATGTGGTTGAAAAAGTGTGGGACTCGTGAAAAATGTGGTTAATATTGATTGTTTGACTTTGATTTAGATTAAAATCCTATTTTAATCCGAAACAAACAGGATCATGGTGTTTTATTTTTATTTTTCAGTGTATGGAAAAAATAGACACTTTAATATTCGTATTGGACAGTTTTCATCCAAAATGGAGTGAGTGCAATTCAACAAGCTTACATCCAATATGCAGCGAGGTGCAATACAATAATATGTTGGGAACACAAATACCAAAAAAAATGAGGTTCGATTTTCCTAACGCACAATTTTCATCCATGCACCGTAACTAGTTTGTATTGCCTATAATGTTCGGCAAGATGACGCCTAATAATTTGAAGTGATTAAGCCTATCATAGTGTACAATGTTTGAGAAAATGACGCTAGCAGTTTGAGTCGATGTCCATTGAGACACCTAATGGTTTATATTTATTTACGAGTCGGTTCGTATTAAATGCTTCCTACCAACATCTATCTGTACCCATTAATTAGCTCACAAAACTATGGGAGTAGCAGTGAAACACATCAATTCCTTCCCCATTTTTCTTATTTATACAAAACCATATTTACAGTTCAAGATAGTGGTGGTTGATCCTCATTAACTTTGAGAGAGAGAGAGAGAGAGAGAGTCAAATTCACAAGAGTTGCATCTATCATACAAATCCCATTCTCACCAGTTCTCAGTGGATATAAACATATTATTTGTGTCTCATTGTTTGATCATCGAGATGGGGAGTTCAGCAGATGATGTTATGATGGAGATTGAGGCCTGTAAGCCACAAGGCAATGGCCTTGTAGTTGGAGGTTTAAGTCCTTTGAGTGAGTCACTTTGGAAGGACAAAACCAATACAGATGTAGTAGGGGACGTATCAGCCAGGCTAACTTGGAAGGATCTAACTGTAATGGTTACAGTCAGCAATGGAGAAACACAGAATGTTTTAGAAGGATTATCTGGTTATGCTGAGCCTGGAAGCTTTACAGCCCTTATGGGTCCGTCTGGATCTGGCAAATCTACACTGCTCGATGCCCTCTCTGGCCGTCTTGCTGCAAATGCGTTCCTATCAGGGACCATTCTGCTTAATGGTCGAAAGGCCAAGCTTTCTTTTGGGACTGCAGTATGTAGTAGCTGCTTAGGTTCAATTCTTTATAAACTACTTATATTCAACTGATTCATTGATTTTTGCTGCCTGCAGGCTTATGTAACTCAAGATGACAACTTGATTGGCACTCTGACTGTGCGAGAAACGATTTCTTATTCTGCAAGATTGCGGCTTCCTGATAGAATGCCGTGGTCTGAGAAAAGGACATTGGTAGAGAGCACCATTGTCGAAATGGGACTGCAAGATTGTGCTAACACTGTTATTGGGAATTGGCATTTGCGTGGCATCAGCGGTGGAGAAAAGAGAAGGGTTAGCATTGCGGTCGAGATTCTGATGAGGCCGAGATTACTTTTTCTCGATGAACCAACCAGTGGACTCGACAGGTTACTAGCCACTAATCAAATCTTTTTAGAGGGCTTCTTATTAGTGAGACTTAGGGTTCAGTCATCCCTGTTAAGAGTAGTAATCCAAGTTCTCGTACGTTGATTAATATTTTTATATTTAATTAATGTGAGATTTTTATTATGAAATTTTCTTTCTTGGCAGTGCATCGGCTTTCTTTGTTACTCAGACACTACGCGGTCTATCTAGAGATGGACGGACTGTCATAGCCTCGATTCATCAGCCGAGCAGTGAAGTTTTCGAGCTTTTCGACAGATTGTACTTGCTTTCTGGAGGCAAAACAGTTTACTTTGGTCAGGCATCTGAAGCCTATGAGGTAAGAAGTCCTTCACTTCTTTTTCCTTTTCCGATTTTACATTCGATTATGAAGTGGAAGTCTTATGTGAAGTGGTGTATGCAGTTCTTCGCACATGCTGGATTTCCCTGTCCTCCTCTCAGGAACCCGTCTGATCATTTCCTCCGATGTATAAATTCGGATTTCGACAAAGTTAAAGCAACTCTAAAAGGATCAATGAAACTGCGGGTAATTAATTTGATTCATATTAATGCTTGTCCCATTATATGTTGTGTCGGTGCCAAATACAAAGAAGAATTGATGTTCGTATATGGTAAGGTAAGGTGGCTTATTCACCTTACCTGCCTAAAGCAAATTTTCTGACGTTTAGAACACGTAATACACACATTATTAGTTAGCTGGAACAAGGGATGAGAGTTTCTGGTGCTTAAATACATACAAATCCCTTTTTATGAGGGATGACAGGATTATCAGTATACTTGGAGAGAAATTCTATAACTTATTTCAAAAGAAGGGGAAGAGGAAACCAAATTAGAGTCACAAATTGTTAATAGCTGATTAATATAATTATTGATTCATCCTCATTTAGTTCATGTTTAATGACTACTCTTTTCAACTTGTTTTGCTATCAGTTTGAGTCAAATGATGATCCTCTGGACAAAGTGACCACATTGGAAGCTATGAGAACTCTTATAGATTCTTTTCGTACTTCTCAGTATTACTATTCGGCTAATGAAAAGATTGAGGAGATGTCAAAAGTTGTGAGTATTATGAAATGATCTGCAATATTCCATCATACAACCTTTTCTGATCAACCGCTGACTCACTCGCCATTTTATCATGTGTTGCAGAAAGGAACCGTGTTAGATTCAGGAGGGAGTCAAGCTAGTTTCTTCATGCAGGCCTTTACCTTAACCAAACGATCGTTTGTTAATATGTCAAGGGACTTTGGTTATTACTGGTTGAGGCTTGTTATCTACATGGTAGTCACGGTTTGCATTGGAACCATCTATTTGAATGTAGGAACTGGTTACAATTCGATCCTGGTAAATATTTGTGATTCCCTTACAGCATTCAATATGTCAAGTATCTCCTTCCTCTAATTTTCATCTCATTTATCTTCCGTTGTTACCTTGGCATATAGGCAAGGGGCGCATGCGCATCATTTGTGTTTGGTTTTGTAACGTTCATGTCCATTGGTGGGTTTCCTTCTTTTGTGGAAGATATGAAGGTATGTCAAATTATACAGTACTGGCTTGGTTCTTTTCCTCAATAACCGAAAAAATTATTTATTCGATTCAGTGTGTTACTTCTACTACAGGTTTTCCAAAGGGAAAGGATGAATGGGCACTATGGTGTGACTGCATTTGTGATCAGCAATACATTATCTGCAACCCCTTTTCTGATATTGATAACCTTCATTTCTGGTACTATTTGCTACTTCATGGTCCGCCTCCACCCTGGATTTGAACATTATCTATTCTTCGTGCTGTGCCTCTATGCAAGTGTGACGGTTGTTGAGAGCCTGATGATGGCTATAGCCAGTGTCGTTCCTAACTTCCTCATGGGTATCATCATCGGGGCAGGAATTCAGGTGAAATATTGCCCATCTCTGCTTTCCTTTCCTTGTCATTTCTTCTCTTATTCACATGGATTCATCACAGGGGATATTTATGCTAGTTTCTGGCTACTTCCGCCTCCCAAACGACATCCCAAAGCCCTTCTGGCGTTACCCAATGTCTTACATTAGTTTCCACTTCTGGGCTCTACAGGTAACCCAAGCCTTCATATGTTAGCTATTTGTTTCATCTATAACAATCGGACAGAATGACTGATTGTATTATCTCAGGGGCAATACCAAAATGATCTTAAAGGCTTGATGTTTGACAACCAGACTCCTGATCTTCCCAAAATTTCTGGAGAATATATATTAGAGTACGTTTTCCAAATTGACGTAAATAGATCAAAATGGATTGATCTCAGTGTCAACCTCAGCATGATCATCATCTACCGTATCATTTTCTTCATCATAATCAAGATAAACGAGGATGTGACTCCCTGGATTCGTGGTTACATAGCAAGGAGAAGAATAAAGCAGAAAAATGCAAACCAGAATACCACTGTCACCCCTTTTACTCTCACTCAATCCCCTTCACTGAGGAACTTTGTTGCAGATCGACCTAGTAGTAGCAGGAAGTAGAAGAGATACTAAAATTACGTACCATTGCCACGTACGTTCCAGATTGAGGTACTGGCACTAGCAAGTGTTAGAAGAGATACGAAAAACACGTACTATTGCCAATTGCTGCTACTTTTAAGGGTACACTCAATGTAAAACAACATCCCTTGTCGAATTTGTTTTCTTAAGTCAAGCTTTATATCTCTGATGCTACAAGTTTGTTATTCAGGAGATAATATACAAGTTTTAACATATAAACCAAGATCTTTACATATACCAGTGAAGAACGCAATAAAGAACAATAAAATTTCATGCAAGCCAATCTTGAAAAAAAGTAGTGATTAGCATATGCAAATTAAAATGGCACTCACATAATGTGTTGAACTTGAGGAGTTCCACGGTTACGTAGTACTGCCACTCTCAACTCGTAAATAGCCAATAGATATGGAAAGCAATTGGAAATATAGCATTAGCTTTCAATCAATTCAAATCAAAGAACCTACAGTGAGGATATTATGACAAGGTTCAAATATTATTAGTCACTTTTAACCAACAAATCGAAAGCAGTAAAGCGAGAAACTGAAAGAAAATGTAAAGAACACAATGACTTCCGTCCTAAGGCAAGAGGTTCAGAATCGGAGTTCTTAATCCCCTTTTGAGCTTCCGCCACCAGAAGAAATCACTATAAACCGGAATCAATAGACTGTCCAAAATACACTTTCAAAAGACACTCAGAAAAACCACTCAAGATTTCATCAACACTAGCCTTTCGATCTATACAAAATGTTCACTCAAGAACACAACTCTCAACACATATATAAACCACTCAAGATTTATACAAGTTGATACAACCAGATAAAAAAAAGACTATCTGCCTTTTGAGTGAAATAGAGAAGATTTTCAAGGTACTGAAGTTCAAAGAAATTGTAATATATTTATTTATTTATTTTAAATCAAATTGAATTTGGATGAAGGATAACCACGTGTATCTAATGTATGGATATGGGATAATTTAATTTATTTATTTAGAATTATATTAGAAGTCAAAAGTTGTCATCACTATCACGTATTGGGATTAGAATCACATTTTGTTGTGATATGTTTTATGTACACATGTCATATTATGATTTATTTACTAAAAATTCAATTCTTATCCAATTTGATAAATACGATTTTCCATTCCAATTGTACCATGACTCAAACCTATATTTTTTTTATTATAAATAGTGTGCAATTGTCCCACAATTCACCGTCAAAGAATTTTACAGGCAGCTTTCATATAAAGTAGCTATGAATTCCTAATATATTTTTTTTTAAAAGCTTGTTTGATCAATCAAGGTAAGATATTTTTGTGCAAGCAGTTTGTTACCTTATACTTTTATATTCAGTAATTTATGCATGAATTGTCAGTAGACCTTCGAGTTCTTTATTAAGAGATATGAAATCCTATGGGAATTTAAGATGACTTAAGATGGCTGTGTTGCTTGATCACTGATATACTCCATAAGAAAATAGTGGTATCAAGTGTGTATTTTATTGTTATATAATTGTGTATAGAAACAACATGTATCTTACTGGGTATTTTTTTAAAATACTCACATCTACAAAATTTTACAAGTTAGTTCAGGTTGATTGGAACAGTGGCGGGATGGTGAATGCGAATACTGCCAAAGAGGAATCGAAGAGATAAAACATTAAGTTTACTTTTTTTTTTTTACTTTTAAATTATTAGTTAGTTTTATTTGTTCAAAAACAGTTATTAAATTTGTGGTTATGTTTTCATCTTTAAAATTATGGATATTTCAATTATTTAATTTGTGATTATGTTTTCATTGGATATTCCAGTTATTTTTTATTTAAAGAATATTATTTTAACGTTCCGCAAAGAAATTGAATTTTTTGTAACACTACAGTGTTTGTAAAATTTTTGAGGCGTTACAGTTTGGTATCAGAGCAAATGTTTTACTTCATGTAGACTTTGTAAAAAAATGTTATTATTCACGTGAACAGTACACGACACTGTTCGTATGGATAGTACGTGTCACTGTTCATGCTGTTTTTCCAAAAAAAAAAAAAAATTATCCTACATCCATACCTTAGATACACGTGGATATCCCTCATCCAAAATCAATTTGATTTTAAATAGATATATTAAAATTTCTTTGAACTTCAATATTTTGACACTAAATTATCCGAATTAACATTTTCTCGAGCCTAATTTACATGATTAATTATGAATTATCTAACGAGCCCCATATTGATATAATTTTCGTTGTTTTAATAATAACTTCAAATTTAGCCCAAAATTTAAAGTCAATACATATATCACTTTAGTCGTTCAACTTTTCAAAATAACAAAACATGGCATGTAAAATAATTAAATTCTATTCTAAAATTTTCGAAGTGTTTCAATCTTGCTCCACCTCAACTTCAGTTTCTCTCTCTACACTATCAGTCTGACTCAAAGGTATTGTACTGTTCTCTTTTTTCAAACGGGGTAGATCATTTTCATTAAACACAACATTTCTACCTACGATGACCTTATATCCTTTAGTTTCCGTTACCCATAACCTATACACTTTCACTCCTTCACCATAGCCTAGGATTATACATTTAAGTGCTCTAGGGTCTAGTTTCCCTTCATATTGATGTGCAAAAGTTGTACACCCAAAGACTCTCAAATTGCTTAGGTCAACAGGCTTTCCATCCCACATTTCTTTGGGAGTTTTGAAGTGTATAGCACTAAAAGGACTTCTATTGATAAGATAACTTGCAATTTTAGCAGCTCATCCTCAAAATAGATTGGGAAGACCAGAACTTAATAGCACACATCTAACTTTTTCAAGAACAATTCTATTCATTCTTTTATCCAAGTCATTTTGTTGTAGAGTGTGTATAACAGTTCTGTGTCTTAATATATCATGCAGTTTGCACAACTCATCAAACTCAAAATTGAAAAATTTCAAGCCATTATTAGTTCTTAACACTTTAATCCTTTTATCAGTTTGATTTTCAATCAAAATTTTCCAATCTTTAAAGGTAACAAAAGCATCAGATTTAGATTTTAAAAGAAAAATTCATTTTTTTCTAGAAAAATCATCAATGACCAGCAAAAAGTATTTATAACCAGTATGAGTAGGCACAGAAGCTGGTCCCCAAAGATCAACATGTATTCAAGTATAGACACAAATTTATGCATTCCAGGCAAAAAATGTAATATATTGTGTTTTCCTAGAATGCAATATTCACAAAAACTAGGGGACCGTTCTCTTTGTGTTTCAATTTTGAATTCGTTTTGTATTTTGTGTTTTGAGTGTTTGTTTTGAAATTTCTGAAATTGCGTTCTTTTTACCATTCTGAAAAACTGTTTTCGAAAATATAAAAATGGAAAACGCGTTTACTTTGAAATTTTGATAATTTTTTTATAATATTTTATTCAAAAAATTTGATTATTCAATAAATTTAATAGTTTAATGTCAATATAGTATTAAATAACATATATGAAGTTGGTGAATCTTAAATTTTTTTTTTTCCAAATATTAAAATCACAACCTAAATTAAATTAGGCAAAACATTTGAATCTATACGATTAGAAGTATAAGTGTAAATAAATTCACGGAATTATGTATGATGTCTAGAGTAATAACAATTTGATCCTGGAGTTGTCCCATTTGAGTTGTTTGACTAGTATCAAAACTAATGCTCTTTGGTTGCAACGTAAGTCCCAAGTTCGTGAAGGAAAAAGAAAATTCATTTACGGCTTCGTATTACAGAGATACACGCTTGCACACACTAACATAAAAGACATCATTTTAAACAACATAATTCAAAGAGCATCACCATAGAAATTTCTGTCATTGACCAATGTAGAAAACTAATACATACGTTTAAAGAAGATTGTGAAAACTCTAGTGCAGTTTACAAAGAGAGCCCATGAGCAATATTCAACGTTAACCTTAGTTTGGATTACATAAACAGACAACTATAAGCTAAATCTTCTAATCGGTTACATAGGTGGAACAAATTCATGAATCACTGTCCTTTCGTTTTCCATTCTCTTCCATATCTCTTTTTTCCTTGCGGATGGTAATATTGAGGGATATCTCCACGTTTTGTCATTGAAAAATACTGCAAAAATAAAATTCAGTAAACAGAAGTGAGAAATTACTTTAATACAATGCAAGCACATTTTACGGAACAATCCTATAAATGATGGCAGAAGAATTGTTCAGCTCCAACAAAAGGTCCGACACAGAAGATCCACTAAAAGGTTCAGATTCTTAGGAAATTTGAAGAGCAGAATTTTCAGAATTTTCAGATTCACATCCCCAACAAGAATGCCACCATTATTTTACATAAATGAATTGAGTCAGTCTGATAATTGAATGACTATTAACCAACAACCAGTAACATTAGAAGCATTACTATTAACTTCATTATCTAATTATCTAAATATTGTTGTTGCAGTTAGATACCTTTAAAAGAAGCTTGAGCAGTTAGATATATTCTAAGAACATAGAAAAAGGATCTTGGAATCATCCAAACCAGTACTACATTGACAGTGTAGGAAAATAGGAAAATCTTTCTGTCCCATAACCCACAAGTGTTAGAAGTCAGGTCCCCACCAAACCTAGCATTTCTAGGCATCCAAAAATTGACAATTTAATGCCTGTAAAATCCAAATGCAACAAAACCTTGTCTTCTATCGTAATGTAAAACCAGTTTAGTAAGAAGCATATCAGCTAAAAATTTTATGCATACAAAATTTTACTAAAATTGCAAATGGCCTCATCCTATATCTCTTGAGTAGAGAAATAAAGGTATGATAACTCCTTCCAGCATATTTTCCATCCCTTTAGGAATAAAAGCTAATTTCCCTCTCTTTGTTTTGTATATGATGAATGGGAAATAGGATAGAAAATCCTTTTCTGGCACTTTCATAAAGAAATATCATTATGAGATGCAACATTTATACAGTATGAGTGTCGAATATATTATGTACATTACATTCCTTGTCCCTC